TTAAAAAAATATAGTATGCAACAAAAAACAGAAAAAGAAATGTGTGCAACACCAATTATAAACATCCACTTTTTTTTTGACTTACTACTCTGTACATAAATATAGGCCTTTCCTTGCCATAGGGGTGCAAATATATAACAGTACAAGCAATTATTTAGCCTTATACCTTACATGCCTTAAAGTTGCTGGATGGATATACATATATATATTATAAAGCAAAATATATATTAAAAGGCAAAATACTGAAAAACAACAATGCTGTGGGAAACAATGGCTGGATCTCAGTAGAGATACAAAAATGATAAGCAACAGCTAAAAAGTAAACGTAAGTAAACAGCCAGAAATATCATTGTAAATCCACGTGTGTTCTTTAAATTATATATTAGTCGTTGAGACAAAAAATTATGACAACATAATATTGAACACTGCATGTATTTTCGAAAGAAATTTCCGGCCATCCTCTGGCCTTTATTAGCTTTACTGAATGCACAAGATTGGCTGTTGCAAGTTGTATACTATACAAAATAAACAATAATAAATAGTAATGTAGACGGATTATGGGCCAATTATCTAATTGTTTATGCTTACAAAATGAAATCCGACAGAGATCAAAGCGGTCAAGTATTTAAGATAGTGGTGTTAAAAGATTAAACAATTCTTAATTAAGCGTACATAGTAGAATAGTATGGTGGGAACCGATTTAACTTACACTATAAGTGAATAATTATGAAATCTTATACAGGAATAATATATGAATTATAAATAAATTTACCTATAGGCGTATAAATAGGCTAATAAACTCGAAACGGTGTTGATGTAGCGAGTTTGAAACTTGCTGCAGCGAGTTATAATTGTTCAAAGTTCGCAAAGGTGGTAGCAAAATCCTAAGGGAGTTATACAATAGCAGCAGATATGAAGCGCGCTACACTCAGTTTTCTGTACTTGAACTTAACTAGATTCAAAATTGAGAATGGCATTAAGTACAGTATAATAATGAAAACAATAATTTAATTTAATTTATTGCTGAACTTACGTTAAGGAGCCCTATGAATACAGTGGACAGCTGAAAGGCAGAGGTTATTATTCGATTCTGCTTTAATCCCAATTTAGTCAATATAGTTTTTGCATATATTACCCACAGTACATTTATATCTTACATTTCTTCGTACAATTCGTTTAATAATGTGTTTATTTATTTCTACTATTTATACACTGCTACTTTACTTTACTTTACTTTATGTTATATTTTCCGCCATTCATTAATTTTCCGCCACCAATTAATTACACTTTACTATAATACCCCTCGCTTAATGATTTAGGTATATAGCCACTGACTCTAACCTATGTGTAGTGTGATAATTTTTTTCAATCAGTTTAATTTTTATATACAGTATAACTGATTGCAAAAAAAAAATTCCTTTCTGTAGCAGCTTAAACTGAAGCAATGGAATTGGTGTAGGTGAAGTAATGTTACAAATAAACTACTCCCGATAAGCCAATTCAAATCCCGCAAACACAATAATGTCGCTTATATTTTCGTACTTGAACCAAAAAATGATGGGGCGAAATATTTGAAAAAACTATTTTGTAAATTGTGTGCAATAGGTATAAGCCGTTTCAACCAAATTTATCCGTCCTCTATTTTGAGTTACAGTTTTTGCAGTAAAAGTAATCGATGTTAAGAATTGTTTTTAAATATATGATGATTTTCACGACGACAGCGCGTTTCCAGTAACGTGGAACAAACTTTGATATTATGTTAGTAATATTTTTTTTCAATTTGTAATAGTATATTAAAAAACATAGTTCCATGGTTTGATCTATTTCCCAACCAGATGATGGATAGGCCTATAATTAATAGATAAATACATACACACTAAAACAACATTTATTAAATGCTTGAAAACGCTATTTCTAATTATTTTAGGCATTAAATTAATCTTTTTAAAATTGTTTAATTTTTCCGTACAAGGCTGTGTTATTGCGAAACCCGATTTCATGGTGCCAAATTGATATTTTCCCCTTTTTTCGTTACCAACAATTTGTAAGAATAACAAAAGCACCTGACCGGTTATAAAGTATTAAAAATAGTATCGATAAATTTTAAAACTTCTAAGGTTTTAGTCGTGGGTGTTAGATTAGACAACAGCTGTAGTTATTAGGTTTTTAGATCAAAATTATTATATGTAGGCCTATCATTGTAAACATTGACTTCAACGAAACATGATAAAAATTGAAATTGAATGATAATTATATTGATATGCTAACTAAAAATATCCATTATTCTAACTAAGCCATTAAACCAACCATACTGCAGAGTCAATTTATAAGTTTTCAAATTAATTTTCTTCACTACATGGTAAGTTTATTTTTCCTCCATGATGCTACAGTCAGCAGATGTTAGAATAAGCATTAGTTGGTGAAGCAGACATATTGTGGATTACCATATTTTTTACAAAATTATCAAGAATTCCTAATCGTTTGTAATTAAAAAGTATTGTTTCGCTTAGCATTTTTTATTTATTTATTTATTTTTTGGATTATACGTGGTAGCTTATTGGATATATCTTGTAATTGGTTTTACGAGACGAATAAACGAAATGAAATAAGACTACATGGCTTTTGCATGACCATTTTGTTTTTGACATCTGAAATTTCAAGTGCGATAATAACTGTTTGCTACAGCACATTTTTTTTTCTATTTCAAACAAGATGTTGAATATATGAAGCCCCGCTCTCAAATATGTCCATTATTTTAATTCAAAATGTTGATAATGACCGCGCAATTACATAAATCGCACATGTTATTGAGGGAAACATTTAGAATGTCTCGTTTTTAGAATTCAATTCAATTGCTTATAAAAGAAATTGTTTTTTTTTTTTTTTTAAATTCTATTATTTTAGTCTGCTTTTCTTTACATTTTCTCTGATATGCCATTGCGTAGGCGTGTGTTGTGTTTTCACATTGCTAATAAAAAAAAGTAATACCGACATTATTGCCAGAATAAATGATCCTGGCCTGTTATTAAATTATTAAATATATTATTTTTACATCTCAAGGTTTTAGTCATTTTCAGACAACAGCTGTAGTATATTTCTTTTTTTCTTTTTTTTTTAAATCAAAACCAGCTGCAGGCCAATGTAAACATTCACTTTATTGAAACATGTTTTGATATTATATTAGAGTTCTTTTGAAATCATCATTGAACAATAATTATATTGATACTGAATTAAAAATATCAATCTTTCGAAGTAATTAAACTAGTCCACTTAAAGATTTCTTTAATTATTTTCTTCACCGTATGTTATGTTAAGCGTTTTAGTAGTTTCTCCATGATGCTAAAGTAAAACAGATGCCTGCATTAGCATAATTCGTCGATGAAGCAGACGTTCTGTTTTAACCTACTTTCTCTCAGAATCGGTCATATTCAACATTATTAGGCCTATCACGAATTCTTAATACTTTTCAATTAAACAATATTTCTTTTCTCAGGTTTTTTTGGTTTTATGTTTTTGTAGTGTTCGTGGTATTCAATGTGTGTTTTGTGTTTCAATGTGTTCCATATGTGTTTGATCCAATGACCGGGGTAGTAATGTGAAGCGCTTAGAGGCCTTGTAAAGGCATGAAGCGATTCTATTATCTTTATTTATTTGTTTAACATATGAAAATGGTTATTTCTCAGCGTCCTTGTTAGCAAATGACCGTCATGTAAAACGCATTATTATTATTTTTATTATTTTATTGTTATTGTTGTTATTATTATTATTATTATTATTATTTTATTATTCATAGGATAAATTATAGCAGTAATGTTAAATTTAATGGAAATTTTAAACGTTTTACAAGGACATTTTTTAGAGAAATGCAAAATTTTCTCCATACCTATTAACACAGCTACAGTTTCATATCATATTAATGGTTTCTAAATATTTCTATATTGAAATATAATTTAAAACTGCTATCAAAACATGTACCTCAATAAAATTAAAGTCCAAGAAGCATGCTTTATAAAAATCAACACTGCATTTCTGACTTTACTATAGAAATATCTGAACGAGATATCCTGCAACATGCAAACTATATGGTTTCAGTAGCAATAAATAACTATTCTTTGTTATCTAAAATAATTTGACATAGGCCTACTAGAGAGTAAGATACGAAGCGAGCTTCTCTTGTTTTAATAACTCTAGGTCTATTGCAGTATAACCACCTCAAGATACATTTTGAGTTGAGCTAGGCTATTTATTAATTGTCGTCAGTGAAGTCATATATAATTTTGTTGTCAAATCGAAATGTTGGAATTATGTATGTTATAAAAGACATTTTTTTTTCTTTTGGTTTAATTTAACTTAATTTAATACAGAGTTTTTATAGCATATTCTGTATAATATTTAATAGAAATAACTAGAGTTCTCTGAATAAACTAAAAACATATATAAAAAGTAGACTGTATACAAAATCTCTATTAATTCTCCATTACAAGGGGTCCTTGCAAACACAGAAATATAATTGCACTTTTTATTACGACAGAAAAAGCAGATAAAAAGACATACAATGAATATAAGAACAGGCGACCAAAGGCAGCAAAAAAGAGATAAAAAAAATATTAGCCCTAAAACTAACAGTAAAATACAAATCCAAAGGAGTTAAAAATAAATAAATAAATTCCAAAATGACGCACTTTAAGGTAGTTATTTTAGTATTAAAGAAAATTTTACAAAAGAAAAAAAAAATTAAAATTAAAAAAAAAATTACTAAAATCAATAAAAAGTTGAAAAGAAAAACTTCATAAAAGAACATTAGTCATTGGTCTGAACATGTAGCTTCTAAGAGCTGTTTTAAACAAGTTGCCATTAGGAAATTTTTCTATAGGCCTATCAACAGGTGTTTACGACTACTACCGTAACAATCACGTGTGAATTGCTTAATCATGTCTAGTATTTGTAGTGCCAAGCCTGTAATACTATAAATAAATTCACTCTCTTCATCACAGCAGACAGATATTCTGATATCCACTACTTCTACAAGTTAGGATTCGATTGACAAGAATTCTAAATGATGCATATTTATGCATGTTTTGTAACGCTGTGCTGTGTTGTTTGTGTTTGCAGCGGTCAGCAAAAATGCTGCATTAATGATGACCTCTTCACTATTACTTTTGGTATGTATTAGCATGGCTATATTATTATAATCAACTTTTCACTTTCATACTGAGCATTTAAAGGAAGACCCCCACACACCCAATAGGACAAGCCAACCGTTCTTTGGCTCCCACTATATATTCTAAATCCAACGCTGTGCAGATATGTTGGTTGTAACTTATTTAGAAGTTTCTTTTTTCATTCTACTGCAATATTTTCTTGCTATATTAATCACAGTAATTAAGTTTATACTGATTTTGTTATTGTTTTGCACATCTTTTGCGGTTGTGCCTCTGTTATAAAAGAGAAGCAATAATACTTTTGCCCACTTACAAGAAAATTATAATTGTGATTTTGTGTGCTTTCCACGATAATAACAATCGTTGTGTTTTTGTGTCAGAACGTCTAACTGGTTGGTATTCAGAATCATTCAATCTAACATTTGAAGAAACCTCGTTCATGGTAAATGATTATACACATGGTCGATTTTACGTCAACCGAATTAGAAATTCTCTGAACACAGAATTAGAAAAAACTTTGGTGATTGAAGACTACAACCGGGTTGGTAAAATTTGATATTAGTTTTATTTATAGGCCTATAATTTATTTTACAAAATAAAAAAAAAGAAATAACAATAAATCACTGAGAACCTTAGTCATGAAGAAAGCATTAGCATGAAACAGTCTGTAGAGTGAATAAACCCAGTTCCACAAGTACTATATTTTCAATAGTTACGCTCTCATTACGTGTATCGAGAAAATACAGTGTTGATTTTTATAAAGCATGCTTCATGGACTTCAGTGTTGAATTTAGGTATAGGTTTTCATTGCAGTTTCATATTATTTTTTAAGACATAACAATATCAAGGTATAACGAGCTGAAAAAAAACAGATAAATACGTAGTGGTACATTAATATAACGTGAGCATTCAATAACAAAATCATGAAACAGAAAACGTAAATAAAACAATGGAAGGCATTTAATTTGAGTCAAAACGGACACAACTTGGAGAGCGTTAACCAAGTATTATCTGGTGTAACCAAACCAAATGAATAAAACAGGCGTAGTAACAAATAATGTGTGTTTTATGTAACAAAGTATACCCTCTGATAGTTAGTATTATACTCTCTGATAGATAGAGTCAAAATTGACACACCTTAGAGAGCGTTAACCGATTATAATGGTGTAAGAAGTGTAATATAGCATGCGCATTATATCATAAATAACACAAGCATAGTAAGTAAAAAATAATGTTTGTTATATCTAATAATCTATACACTCTGATAATTAGTACTATACCCTCTGATAAATAGAATCAAAATAGACACCTTAAGGAGCGTTAAGCAAGTATTATATGGTAAATAGCATTAAATCGTCTGAATAAAACAACATGGTTAGAAGAACAGTCACACTTTAATAGCGATTATTTACCTAGTCCAGTTACGACACATCTTTTATTGCGACCCATAATTAAAGTTTTCGCAGTATAATATTCTGTTAATTTTGTAGAGCTTCATATGGACTATTGATGCTGTTGCAAAAACGTGTAAAATGGCACTTTTGCCAAGAGGAGCGGAAAAACCAACGAGGTGTGTTCCAGGTAAGGCACAAATAATGGCTTTTGTCAGTTGTAGGAGAGAAATCAGTGAGCAATTCTATAGCTCAGGAATGGAAAGGGCAGAATTGAATGATAAGTTGATGCTAAATGTTATTGTTAATGGCGTTGCTTGTGCTGCCATGATTTTATTGTTATTTTATTATTATTATTATTATTATTATTATTATTATTATTATTATTATTATTATTATTATTATTATTATTATCATTATCATCATCATCATCATCATCATCATCATCATTATTATTATTATTATTATTATTTGACTGCTATCATTCAAGATGTCATTTTCAATAGGTAATGCACAATATCTTGACGAAATTAATTTACCTGGTGATGTGCCGGTTAATAGGTGGAGCTATATATTGAAAACTCCAACGGAAATTAGCGAGGTGACACGTGGATATACCAAAACTGGGTGTATACCAACTGGAGGAACAGTAGTTGCTAGAGAGGATCAAGGCGGAATCGACGGTAAACATTTGATGATCGATCGAATCTGCTTTTCCGATTTTGCCCGGGACCGGGACGTACTCAATGTGTATTTTTGCAATGAAAACAATGTCAGAAAAAATGTAGCAATTTTTTTTAAATTTAAATTTGAAAGTTGGTGTTACTTTTTAGTTTCGTTCTTCGTGGTTCTGTTCACAGTACACTTCCCCTATCATTTGTCCATTGATTTTCAGAGTAAAATACATATTCAAAATGTAATTTAATTTGACATCACTGTCCTTGATTCTTTCATGTTTAGATTTCATGTTTCAGATTCGAATCTGTTGTAACATAATACAATGCAGTAAACTTGTGAATATAAATATCCTTTTTTTAATCTCAAATTTTAGATGTATGAAAAAAAAATTGATATATACTAATATATTTGGATTATATAAATAAATATAAATAAGTATTCGAATAAACGCATACCTTTGAATAAATGCCCCCTCTTGAATCCCATTGGGAATAAACACCCCTGAAATAAACTCACAGGGGTGTTTATAACTCCCAAATGTGTTTATATTTTCCTCGGATAAACGCCTCAGGAAATTTAGCTGGAAAAAAAAAAAAAAAAAAAAAAACATTGCTTTTATTCTGATTTTTTTTTCTGCATACTTTTTCCCTATCTTTTTTACACAGGATTTTTCTAGTCTTTTCACTTCAATGCTTGAAACTTGTCCATGCTTGCCGAAGTATAGATCATATATCAAATATGTGCCTCCTATAATATTTGGTGTCAATCTATGGTGGGGTGTGCATGTGAGGACCAATTAAAGTGAATTATGATCAAAAGGTCTCCACTAGATATTTAAAAAAACAGGTGAATTAACCTGAATGAAACTTTCGGGAAAGTTACAAGAAGAAATTATTATGCGTTGGGGACGATCCAGTGTAGGGTATAAATTTGAGGGTCATTTAAAATTATGATTATAAATATCTTTAAAAAAAATGTGTATATTTAAAGCTTTCTGTAATAATTTGTCAAGGTCTGATAAAGAAATTTTTAAATTTTTGTAACAATCCACGTAGGGTGTTTATATGAGGACCATTAAAATGAAAACGTTCAAGACCAGATATTTCAAAAAACGGACAAACTGATCTGAAATAAACTTTCGGGAAAGTTAACTAAGTTAGCAGGAAGAAATGTTTATGTGTTGGGGACGATGTAGTTTAGGTTATAAATGTGAAAATCATTTAAATCTTTGACGTCACAGACGTACATATATCTAAAAAAATTTTTTTTTTTTTAAATTAAACTTTTTATAATAGTTTGTCTGTAAAGAAATGATTGTGAAAAGAAATTTTTGTGAACATCCGGATTTAGGGTGTGACTATGAGAACAATCAAAAGATAACGTCCCAAACTAGATATTACAATAACTGGTCAACTAATGCAGATGAAACTTTCAAGGAAGTTTAACAAAGTTACATCATGGAAGATATTATTTTGTGTTTAGGATGATCCAGGTTAAGTCATTTTAATAGCTTACGTCACAGTTATAAATGGATGAAAATAAACATTGCAAAATAGTTTTTCATGGTAAAATGAAAATAATGATCAAATTTTGGTGACAATCCGCCATTGGGTGTGGATATGAGGACAATTTAAATATTTTTTACAATTAATTATATTATATAAACGCAATTTTAGATTTCTAAAGCGCCTTAAGCTGTTGCAGCTAGGTTTAACATAAAAATACCCTGATATGTATGAAAAAATTTGCTTTCAGTCACTGAATCTCTATGAACTGAAAACGCACTGGCGTTGTATATGTTCTCT